TGGAGGAGAAATACAATTGATGGAGAGCTAAGAAATTGGAAGATAGCGGAGGCCCCCCTTGGAGCCACGAACAACAGGTCTCTAGCAGCCTGAAGGCAAGTCTGACTGGAAAGCAGTTTGTTAATCAAAAAAGGTATTAAAACAATGTGAAGCACAAAGAGACAGGCTGGCTGAGATATCAATGACCCCGTGAAACACACACTAGCTGACATGCAGTAAATATAATGACCAGCAGACAGTTGACCCAGCAGCAAGGGGAGCTCGCACTCAATGTACAAGGGGCAAGTTCGTCTTACATGCAGGATGAGCTCCAAGCCAGACCATCAGAACAGAACAAGGAAATAAAACCACCAAGCAGTGTTAATTTCATTGACGAAGACTATGAGGAAAAATATTCGTCAACGAACCTTGTTCACAGACGAAAACTAAATAAAAACTAAATAAAAAGTCAGATATGATGACGAAGACTGTGACGAAATATAACTGACACTTTAGTCAACGAATAAAAATTAGACAAAAATATTAGGGAGGGACGAATGGAGAAGAGATTCAATCATCACTACTCTTTTTGTAGGACAAGTTTGGAAGAAATCCAATCAGAGCGAATCTCATGGCCGCCTGTAAACCGTGTGGAGCAAAGATCTCTGGGAAAAACACCACCAACTTGAAGCAACATTTACAGACGACTCATCCGGAAATACACGCGAAAGTAAGCATACATGCTAAGCTTATTTTATCAGATAAACCACCGTGTTTCCGTTAAACTTGGAATAAAATAGAAGCTAAAGGAAACCAGCTTGAGCTATACTGATTAGACGATTGTCTCGCTGAATTAATATGAGCATAAATATTAAATGTCCTCAAATTGAATCAAATGTGTAAAATGTGTATTATAGTAACGTTAGATGTTGTGGCGTTATATGACTGGACGAAGGGTGTGTGAGTGAGAGACAGAGAGAGAGGGAGAGATCTGAGGAGATTGGGCAAAAAAAAACCACAACTTGATTTCCCCTTTATTCACCCTCACAGATACAGAAGACATCTGATGACAAAGATGACCGTAGGCCAAGTGGAAATAAAGCTAGTGCTGCTAGTGCAACCCAGCAGCAGGCCACTCTACAGCTTTCCTAAGTTCTTCAAAGTACAAAACTGAATGGAAGGAACAACAGACCAAGGAGCAGGCCATAGCTAGATGGATTGGACGCACAGGTTTACCACTCACAACAATTGAAGACGAGGACTTTGTGCTAATGATGGAGATAGTAGATAGGAGACTAACAGTTCCAAAGAAAACTAAAATGAGCTATTTGATTGAAACACAGTATGAACATGAAAGACAAAAATTCAAAGAGAGACTGGCTGCTGCCCGGAGAGCTTCCATTGGCCTTGACTTGTGGACAAAAAAAGGACTGACAGCCTCCTTCCTTGCTATAAGCGCACGCTACTTTTGTGTTGAACAAAGTAAACCTGTACACATATTGTTGGCCCTTGAACAAGTAGCTCACCCACACACTGCACAGTCTATTAAGGCATGTGTGGACAAATGAATGCAAGAGTGGGGCATACCAAAGGAGAAGATCCTGACGGTAAGAACGGACAATGGGAGTAACATGGTGGCAGCCTTTAAAAACACCACAGCAGAAGAAACCAGCTCTGAGGATGACTCCCCTGGGTCCACGATGGAAAGTGACTCTGAAATTGATGACCAGCGGTGAGCCATGTTTAGTTTATTCTTTTACATCACAGTCAATTATCACATGAATGGTTTTCCCCCTGCCACACACTACATATATACAGTATGTACAGACACACACCAGCCAATTTATTAGGTTTAGACTTCTATGGTTGTCTTTTCTTCTTGTTATTAGGTACCATCATGTCGACATGGTGGTGATGTGGTGAAGCTCTTTCGCAAGTCCTCAGTTGCAACACAGAGGTTATCGGACCACACGCTGGTCAAGCACATTCAACATGGTCGCACGACTCCTCACAGTCAAAGATGCAGTCTGTCAAATCACAAATGACATGGGATGGGACAGTTTGCTTACTAGTGAGTGGCAAAAGCTTTCATCATTGCATGACTTACTGCTGCCTTTTGGGAACACACTAAAACCCTCCAGAGTGACACTGCATCTATGTCCTTAGTGGTTCCTGCCCTCTTTGATCTGCTGAGCCGCCTAACTGACTTTGCAGAGAACACTCGGTACAGAGACCTTGCCACTCTTGCAGAGAAAATGAGATCAAATCTGAACCAGCGTTTTGCTTGCCTCTTGGATTCAGCCGATGAAAAGTTCTCAGCACTTGCAGCAGCTGCCTGCTTTGTCAACCCAACTGTCTGTGAAATCCTTGTTAATGTTAATGTGGCTGATGGAAATATCCAGGAACCGCTGAAACAGGCAGAAGACTATGTGGTCAAATGCACTTTCCCTCACACAAGACAGGAGGACCAGTCTGAAGATGATGCAGAAGAAGAGGTTATTGAGGAACCAGAAGCAGCGCCATCCTCAAAGCAGCCGGTGTTTAGGTTCCTCTCAAAATGCCGCACCACAAGGCCTAAACAGAAAACCTCCACAACCAGCATCAGGCGGCAGATCATCAAGTACAAGGAAGAACTTTCACATCCCATCACTGCGGACACAGGAACAGACTTCTGGCTGGATAAGAGTGACAGTTTTTATCACAGTTTAAAACCTTTCGCGTTAGACTTGTTGGCTATGCCAGCTTCTCAAGCTTTGCAGAGAGGGTATTCAGCATCACAGGTGACCTCACAAGAGGACGGCGCAACAGAGGAAGGGTTACACTGGAGCGAAGTGCTTTCCTTAAAATGAACAGAAACAAATAGAACTGTTGTATTCACTGCTATTTACAGCATTTCCTGAAGTAGGATATGCACAGCTTGAAAGTTATTTGTTTTGTTTTTTGTTTAATATGAGAGCAGAGAGATTTTTTCGTTCCATGCAATAATGGCATTACAGCTTAGCATGTAATTCACTGATACTTGATACTTCTTTTAATTATTAACAGAAGATTATTTCATTTTGTGTGCAATGACATTACAACCAATACATATTATCTTTTACATGTTTTGTTTTCAAATCTCTTTGATTTTGCACACAATGCACAGAGTAATAGAGGATGAAGAAGAAGATGATGCTTACAGAGTTTTTTAGTTTAATGTGACATTTACCTGTATGAGAGCAGGGTTTTTTATTTACTTGAACATTAGGGAGGATGTCTTTGGTAGTGCGTGCAATGGCATTACAGCCAATACATTATTCTACATTAGAGAATTGCACTAATCTGTTCAGTTCAAAGCCTAGCAGTTATTTAACGTCTCTTGAGGTACGTGAAGATTAACAGTAGTGAAGTTTCTGTATTTAGATTGTGCAATGGCATTACAACCAATAGTTTTATTATTGTTTTTGAGAATTGCACTTTATTTTTCTTAATGTTTTTGATTTTGCACAGACAGTAGAAGACAGTAAGTTAAGGTTATCTATTTCAATAATATTCTTTCAAGATGAAGTATAATGTCATATGCATTGCATATCATTCAGGGAGGGATCTTTTTCAGGGAGCATGTTTATTTTTCAGGGAGAGCAGGCCTTATGCTTATTTTATGTGAGATTATCTTTTGTGAAAAAAACACGGTCAGTGTTTTTGACATCAAGAATTAAATAAAAATTGAATCTGTGTCTGTATTGCAGATTCAAACCTTAATACCATTTCATAACAGACTGATGGATACTTCCAATGACAGGAAGTCCACTCCACTGTAGATTTAGTCGACTAAAATCTGCTAATATTTGGTCTACTAAAACTCGACTAAGACTAAAAGACTTAAGACTAGACTAAGACTAAAACTCTTATGATATTTAGTTGACTAAACTAGACTAAGACTAAAAGATTTCAGATAGACTAAAATGTGACTAAAACTAAATGGTGTGTTATTCAATAGACTAAGACTAAATCGGAATTTGATGTTTGATAGAAAACATGTTCAAATAGCACCAACTACGCAACCGATCCCTACCTGGGTCTCCCCGACTAAGTTAGCCTCCTCCTAACGTTACATGGGGCTCTCCTCGTAACAGGAGCTGCCACCTATACGCTGCGGCCAGACGCCGCCCTCACCCGGGCTCTCTTGTGGCCTTTTATTGTGGCCAGCCTAAGGCCCGCCTGTGCAATCCCCATGCTGTCTGCTCAGCATCTTGATATGCTACACCTGTGAGGTGGATGGATTATCTCGGCAAAGGAGAAGTGCTCATTTACACAGATTCTGACAGATTTGTGAACAATATATGAGAGAAAGAGGTCTTTTGTGTACATAGAGAAAGTCTTAGATCTTTGAGTTCAGCTCATGATGAATGGGGGCAAAAACAAAAGGGTTGCCTTTATAATTTTGACTAATAACCAACCTAGCCTGGAACATCCATGTGGACAGTCTCTGTAGCAGATTACAACGACGACTGCACTTCCTGTGTCAACTTGGACTTCATGGTGTTGATCAAGATGTTTGTACAGATACGGCATCATATTCAAATACAATAATCATGGCAGCTGGTTCATTACATGTGAAGTGCACTTGTTCCGGACCTTCCTACAACTGAGTGAGTCTAGAAGTGAGATCCTTTTATTGGCCCCTCAAATCCTGTCAACCACTTGAAATCAAACTTTGCTAAGATGCTCACTGATGTTCAGCATAAATACTCTGGATACAAGATTCTGTAGTGAGGTTTTGTTCAGTTATCAGCTGACTTCAATTGAGTCCTTGTGTTTGCAAATCCTGAAAAGATGATCCATCCTTTGAACTATGCTTATAAAAGATTATACAACCTGCTGCTACCAGTCTGTTAACAGGAGGAAGTGAAAATCCAGAGCTGCGAGGAGACGGAGAGATTGAGGGAGGAGCTAAGCTGTTAGTGAACTATAGAAGAGAGAGGAACTTCCATATTCAGCAGAGTTCAATACACAAAGCAGAAACATTCCCTTTATTCAACATGCTGTCATTGGACTATTATGTACTTTCTCTACTGTTACTATCCATTCTAACAGGTATGTGAGATCCTGCTGAGAAAGTTTCATTACTAACTTTTCTGGATGGGATTCATTTGTTGAGTCTTTTACAACATGAAATAACAGAGTTATCTCTTCCTTCAGGTGTCAGCTGTGAAGAACTCACTGCAGTCAGGAATGAAGAGTTCACTTTAGAAGGCAGCTCTGTTACTCTGTCCTACACATACTCTAAAAAAGCAACTGGTAGTGATTATTTCTTCTGGTATCGACAATATCCAGGAAAACCACCAGAGTTCCTCATCTCCCACTCTGCTTCAGGAGCAGTAGGAAATGATCCAATCCCTGGACTGTCTGTTACAGTGAGTGATGATAAAACCCAAATGGATCTGCAGATCATCTCAGCTAAAGTGACAGACTCTGCTGTGTACTACTGTGCTCTGCAGCCCACAGTGACAGGAAACACCAAAACTCTGTACAAAAACCTTTGGAGCAAAGACAACAGAATACTCCACAACGTCCACTAGAGGGAGTCACACACTGTTAAACTTCAGTGTGATGATGAAGTCTGGATTTATTTCAACTTGAACAAATTCATGTATTACTGTCAATATACTGTATGTACTGTTGTACTCCAGTATTGGAGAAAAGCATGTTCACAGTTTGAAAGAAGCATGTCTATAAACTGGTTGGCATCACAGACTCTCGTCTTTATAAAAGTATTTTCTCAGTTTTTCTCTCAGGCTGTGATTTCTTGTGGTGTACCACAGGGTTCAATCCTAGGTCCTCTCATTTTCTATCTACATGTTGCCTTCTGATCAAATTATTTTTAATACATAACATCATGTTCCATTATTGGAGCAAAGACAACAGAATACTCCACAACGTCCACTAGAGGGAGTCACACTGTTAAACTTCAGTTTATCATACAGTCTGGATTCATTGCACTGATGATGAAAACTAGAAGAAAAATGAGGCATTGACAATAAAAGGAGAGTGTTTGTAGCTCTGACATACTGACAATAAGGAGAGTGATGTTATTTATGTAGATAAGATATTGTTTAAATTCCTGATGATCTTAACACACCGACATCTTGGTCTCCCTGAACTTCCTGTCCTGAGGTTTCCATCAGTTTTCCTCCATGTTAAGGCAGGACAGTATGGGGAGTCTTCACTGATGATGCTGGATGTAAAACCCAGTGAGACTCTGTATGTGATACTGGACTGTACTCAGAAACTAGACCTGATCTCAGCATCCAGATGTGGGTTTTGTTAGTCTGAAGGAATATTCCAGTGAAAATGTTCGTTTCACTATCAAATCCTCTCCACCTGTAAGCTTGAAAGGTGACTCAACAGTTTGTAGCATCACTTTGTTAATTGCTGCTGTAAATCCACAACTTCAGAGATGTGGGGAGGTGATAACGCAGCACAGAAGTAGAGTCTTTAACTATGTTGAGTTTGGAAAACGCTGAACAAACAGATCATCAGCTGACAACTGGATTATGCTGCTGGACTAGTCTGAAGTTTCAGTGGCATCTTTTCTTCTTCTGTGGTCTGATTCTGATTGGCCACTAGATGACACTGTAGCTGCTGTTAATCCAAGCTGAGCCACATTATCAAGTAGGCGGTGCACTACTTCTGCACTGTGTTCAACCATTCTGTCAATAATAACTGCTGCTGTGAAGAGAACAATTCTCAGACTGAATGTTGAACATCAGCTAGTTTCTCCTGTTGATTTAAACCTTGTTGTAGAGATGGAACATTGGCTGGGGATTATTCTTGCTGCTCTTTTCTTTGGTAAGATAGAAAGCACAACATCTTTTTATTCTTTTCTAAAGATTTATGGAAACAGCTGAGCTGTTTGTGTCCACAGAGTAACACTGTACAGCTGCCATTTTCCACTGTCTTCTCCTCTCAGCCTCATGAACAATGTTAGTCTAATGGCTTCATTTGCTCTACTTTTTCCAGGACTAATAGCTGGAGACACAATCTCTCCTGTACGAGAGGAAGTCAGTGAAAGAGAAGGACAATCTGTCACACTCACATGCAACTATCAGACAACAGCAAGTGGTGTATACCTTCACTGGTACAAACATCATTCTGACCTTCAGGCACCTCAGTTTATACTCTTTGAAAGGAGCAAAATCGTACACAGGTGAACATATTCCTGATAGAAGATATGAATCTGAAACATCAGCAACATCAACTAAACTGACCATCAGAGATCTAACCCTGGCAGACACAGCTCTCTACTACTGTGCTCTAGAAACACAGTGATACAAAGTGTAGAAGAGGCTGTACAAAAACCTGAACCCAGATATCTGACTACTCTTCAAAGAGGAGGGAAGTGGTATTCAAACCACAGCTTCATATCAGATGGATTCTGCTAATTCCCGTTTTATCAGAGTCACTGTGGTTCCAGCTGCTAATGAAACACTGGGGGAGGATTCACAGGAGCATTATGGGTAGTGGGGATCTTTAAGTTTAACCAGGTTTCGGGCTCCAACAGAAGTTGTGTACAGTTTGCAGATTGGAGGTTTCAGCCAGGTGTTTGTGTCCAGATTCCTTCAGGTGAATTTCCTGCAGATTCTCCTTCAGTCTGACCTTCTTGGATGATGATGACTGCAGCATCACTGTCATTTCTAAAGCTTCCATCAGCCTGAATGGAAACAGAGCACAGCAAGAGGAGGAGCTCCACAACTGAATATGAAAGGCTTCATGTTGGAAGTGAAGAGCTGCTGTGTTCTCTCTATTGTTCATTCAGTACAAGTGGAAATGATGCAGCTCTGCTTAGTTTGGATGATCATCTTCATGTTTCACACTGGTGAGTGAAATTTAACAGGAGATTTTAAACATGACTCAGAAAAAATATCAGTTGTGCATTTTCTCAAGTGTTTCTCTCTCACTTTAAAGAAATATAAATGTCAGAGTGAAATCTCTCTTTGTCTTTTTCAGGATCCTCTGAGGATTTAGTGAAACCATTTAAAGATGTAATGCTGGCTTTGGAAGGAGACTCTGTGACTCTCTCCTGCAACTATTCAGGCTCTGTACAAAACCTCTGCTGGTATCAACAGAAGTCCAGTTCATCTCCACAGTTTCTCATCAAAGAATATTTAGAGAAACCAGGTTTTCTTTTGCACATGAGAAAACAGCAAAGGAGTTTCATCTGCAGATCTCCTCTGCTGCAGTGACAGACTCTGCTGTGTACTACTGTGCTCTGCAGCCCACAGTGACAGGAAACACCAAAACTCTGTACAAAAACCTTTGGAGCAAAGACAACAGAATACTCCACAACGTCCACTAGAGGGAGTCACACACTGTTAAACTTCAGTGGTTTATGATCTGAATTTGTGGTGCTGGTGATTAAACAAAACAAAACAATGCAGCAGCAGCATGTGGAAGATACTACAAGTTCTGAAATGTTATTTTAAATCAATTCCGACAAAGGATGATAATGATGTTGGATGGTGTTTATATAAAGAGAGACTATCAGCAGCCTAATAGCTGAGAGTTCTCAACCAAGGAAGTCCTTTCTCTCCACTGCTGTTTGATCCTTAAGAAGTAAATAATTAAAATGTCCATTCTGTAAAAACACATGATGTCAAGGCTCTGACTCAGCATCTGTCAGATATACCGGGTCGTTGCACAAATTCTGTAAGCAGTCCCTGTGCCCCACCCCCATTACCCACTGCCCCCACCCCCCAAAACCCCCCTCCAACACACATGTCATCCGAAATGTCAACACATTTCAACCTTTTTTCAACATTTACTTCTATGCAATGACTTTAATTGCTAAATGCTTTCACCCCCCACTACGATGCCCTTGGTCAAATATACAGGATCCAGTCTGGAGATGATGGTCCATTAAATTGTTTACAGAACAGAACAGAATTCATGGATGACCAAGTAATGATCAAGCATGAAACGATAGAAGGAAAATTTGACATATGCAAACAATCTTCCTGTCTGGAGCTTAACATCTAGTTTACTCAATTTATTTTTGTAAAGACGTCTCATGATATGATCTGTCCTAAAATGTGACACAAATGTAATAATGTGAATAGTACTGTTTGAGTAATGTATTGAATAAGTAATTAATGTGGCTGTCATGTGTAATTGAATAGTTGTATATCGTCTGTCTAAAGATTGACCTCAGTCAGGACCTTCACATGTTCTGTCAAGAGTCAACCAGTTTTACCTTATCAGCTTCTTGTTAACTGATGGAAATGATGTCATGTAGTGAATTACAGCACCACAGCAGAGACAAACTCACTATTTGTCAGAGTTGTGAGAGGAAGGAGGGAGGGATTAAGGGAGGAGCAAAACTGAGACTCAAGGTCAGAAAAGACAACAGATGATGAAGAGGAAGGGCCAATGATGTGAAGGCCCAGATCCATCAGAGTATCAATGTTCTTCCTCTCTCCTCCCCTCTCACTGCAGACATGAACCACTGGCTGAGAAACATCCTGATTCTGACTCTCTGGCTAGGTAACTCTTTAAACCTACTGATTGTTCTCCTTTAATCAATCATCTTTATTGATCCATCTCTTCCTCTGCATGTTCTCTTCTTCCCCAGAGTGTAAAGGAGAAGACAGAGTGACCCAGCCAGCAGGAGATGTCATTGCTGCTGAAGGAGACACAGTTACACTTGGCTGTACTTTTGAGACGACTAACACAGGTCAATATATATTCTGGTACAAACAGGATGGAAACAACAGCCCCAAATTCATACTGAGCCGCATTCAACGGGATGAAGGGAAAACAGAGGAAGAGTTTAAGGAGAGATTTTCATCCACACTGGATTCCACCTCAAGATCAGTTCCTCTGAAGATCCAGAAGCTTCAGCTGTCTGACTCTGCTGTGTACTACTGTGCTCTGCAGCCCACAGTGACAGGAAACACCAAAACTCTGTACAAAAACCTTTGGAGCAAAGACAACAGAATACTCCACAAGGTCCACTAGAGGGAGTCACACACTGTTAAACTTCAGTGTGATGATGCAGGTTGGATCCACTTTACTCTTTGTCATTTAAAGCTTTAGAAATGAAACCACTTGTAACTTCTTCACTCTGAACTTTACATTTCACCAAGGTAACCATAGTAACACTGTGTGAGCATTACTTTAAATATTATAGATATATAATAATGAGAATATTGGTTCAGTGTTCATGAAAAAAACATTTGTTTTCATATAAAAAAAAATGTTTAAGTGGATGTTTTTTAAAAGATATCGTCTCATTTAGGAACAAAACTAAAAATATTTCTATATAAATGTGTATAACTAGGTAAAACCTTGGAAGATTTTCCTAGCAGTTCTGAAGTGTTTTTGAATCACGTCACACAAAATAATTATTAGTTATTGGATGGTAGCTGTATGACATCAGGTGTTATTCACATAAATGAGAGACTATCACACTGAAAATCCTCTGACAACCAAAATCCGCTGAGAGTCCTCCACCAAGGAAGTCCTTTCTCTCCACTGCTGTTTGATCCTTCAGGAGAAAATGGTTCAAATATCCATTCTGGAAAAACACATGAAGTCAAGGCTCTGACTCTGCATCTGTCAGATTTACAGGATCCAGTCTGGAGATTAAAACATTTGTGAAAGGATCATAGTCCATGAAATAGTTTACAAAACAGAAAAGAATTCATGGATGACCAAGTGATGAAGCATGAAATGATAGAGGGAGAATTTGTCTGGAGCTGGACATGTGTTTTGTAGTTGATTTATTTT